TTAATAAACTGGTTTTAATAAACTGGTTTTAATGGACTGGTTTTAATAAACTGGTTTTAATTGACCCACATCTTTTGCACAAAACAATCTTCTGTCAGCTCTGCCTGTTTACACAATCACTAACCTTTAGACTCGCTTATCCTTAACTTTGCTGTATGTATTTTATATTCTTTATGTATTTTATATTTCAATTTATTCCTGTTGATCTTTGCACTGTGCTTGTTGTTTGTTTTAACACAATCTCTCTATGTTTCTTACTGTAAAGTGTCCTTGGGTGTCCTGGAAGGCTCTTTTTAAATAAAATTATTATTATTATTATTATTATTATAACCAAGTAAGAATGCTGAGTACCTCCTGCTACACCCAGCTTGTGTGGCCCACAGTTTTTAAATCCAGAATGTGAACATGTTCTTGTGTCACAAGTCCCTCAGTGGGGGGTAACTGAGTTTAGTGCACATGCCAGTTTTGGCCTCGGGCTGCCCAGATTTGTAAAAATCTGCGTCAGCCACAGAAAAGCTCCTGTCCGTGGATCTGTAGCCATTTGTCAGTAGATCATTTGCTCTCAGACCCGTTGTGTGCAGGTAACTACACTGGTGCGCTGTTTGTCATATTAAGGAAAGTTCATCCCTTGAGTTACTTTTTATGCCCGAGTCCTTGAGGATGGTCACGTTCAGGGACAGAACTGAGTGAAAAATTAGACAAAAGTCCAAAAAGAACCCCTAAAATCCTTCAGAACGTCATGACAAACTGCAGGAAATGTAGAGACACGAGAGCTGGAGTGAGTCCTGTGTGCAGGACTGATGCTGACTTTAACTTTTAAAGCATCAACAGTAATTATTATTTATTTAAGTTCTTTAGATACGCCTTCTATCTTTTGTCTTTTAAACAATGCCTTGGTGTGATTTTAAAATCTTCTTGCCTGTAATAAACCAGTTCTTTCGTATTAAACCAGTAGTCTTATGGCTACTGAGCGCTGTCTTTGTGTTTCCAGCTGCGGTCGTCATGGCTGCGACAGACGTCAGCGTTCAGGAGATGAGCGACGTCGTCATCGTCACCATCCCAGAAGACGCGGGCGACGAGCTCCCCGGCGTGGTGGCGGAGGATAAGGCGGTGCTGGTGACCGCCGAGCTGACGCCTGAGGCCGGGTACCAACACTGAATGTTGACGAGTGTTGTCTAGTTCTTGGAAGTACTTTTGTTTCCAACATGTCTGAGCCCGAATGACAGGAAGTGTCTAAATATTTCAGAGCTCCTTGTTCAATCACCGCCGGTTGTTTTCAGGGAGGACATCCTCGCCGTCGCTCAGGTGGAAACAGAAAGTGACGCCAGCGGAGCCGACTCTCTGTCCAAGGAAGAGGCGCTGATCGGTAAAATTAGATTCTTTTGAAGTTCCTGTGGGTTCTGAGGTGAAGTTCTGACTCTTTGGGTCCTCCTCAGTGAAGCTGTCGGAGGAGGTGGACGTGGAGGCCGACATGTACTACCCCATCACCTGCGGGGACGCCAAGGCCACGCTGGTGTGGAAGAAGTTCGTCTGTCCCGGGATCAACGTCAAATGTGTCCAGGTGGACATTTGGACCGCGGGACGCCGGTTGTCCTCGCTTGGTTTTTGACGACGACGATTCTTTGACGTCTTTTTCTTTCCTCAGTTCAACGATCATCTCATCAGCCCCAAAGAGTTCGTGTGCTTAGCAGGAAAGTCCACCTTAAAGGACTGGAAGAGAGCGATCCGCCTCAACGGCACCATGCTCAGGTCAGAACAGAACCGTGGGCTTTACTCTGCTGGACAGCAGAACCTCCTCCAGCTCTGTGGAGTCTGGCAGGGCCAAAGAACCTGACCCGGTCCGGATCAGATTCTAAAATGATTCAAATCGAACAAACAAAAACAACAACAGGTTCCACCGTGTCCTTGTTCAACACCGAAACTGGGTCCAGCCGCCTGTAGAACCTCCTTCAGCAGCAGAACCCTCAGTGGTTCTCTGTTCATTTCTCCTGGTTCTGGAGAAGTTCTGGTCCACTCTTCTTTCCATCGTGGAGTGTTCTGTTCACCTCTGAAGGTCCGCCACAGTGTTTCAGTCTGGTTTGGGTTCTGGTCTTTGACTGGACAGGTGCAGCACCTTAGTTCTGCTCTTTCTGACCCGTTCTGTTGTAGATCAGCTGCTGTGTTCTGGATCATGGTCCTGTTGGACCCAGTTTGGTCCAGTTTGGTCCATGCATCAGCTGTTGGACTCCAGAACCCTTTGAGCTACAGAAGAGTTCTGGTCCACTCAGTGACTGACAGGAGCCCAAACCATCAGCCTCCACCACCGCGCTGACAGCTGGGCTGTTTGCTGCAGTGCATTCTGGGTAAACATATGTCCTCTGGTCTGGTTCTGGTCAAGAAACCTTGTGGTTCCTTCAGATGAAAGTCATGCAGCCATGTTGTTTTTAGAGAGAAGAGGCCATGACCTTTGACCTGCTGACTGAGGTCTGCAGAGTCTGAGGTGGAGCTCATCTCTCTGAGTATCGCACAGTCTGACCTTCAGGGTGAATTTGCTGGGAGGTCTCCAGATTGGCAGCCATCTTAAATGTGAATAATTGTTCTCTCTGCAGAACAGTGGACTCGAAATGACCTTTGACCTTTCCCAGATTGACGAGCAGCAACATCTGCTTAATGAGGTCATTGCTGATGCCTTTCCGTCTTGGCGTTGTGTTGGCACACACCTGTTTGCTCCAGAGCAGCAGAACCTGCTTCTTTACTGTTCAGACGGACTCCGTTTTTATTTTTACACCTGAGGTTTGATCTGAATTGTTTTGGATCCACGTAAAGACCGGACCAGTTTAATTAAGTCCTGACAGTAAAACCTGAGACCTGGTCCGGTTTATTTTTGTTCTGGTTCTGTTTGTACTGGGACAGGACGCATTAGTGGTTGAGGTCCAGTTTGGCCACAGGGTGGCAGTGTTCACACGTCCTCAGGTCAAGTCCCTTTATTGATGCAGCACATTTAAAACTTCTGTTACCAAAGTTCTGAACAATAAAATCAATGGGAGAAATTTAATTAAAGATAAAACGATGATATTGAAAAATTAATTAAAAACACCGAAAAAAAAAAAAACATAAAAACACAAAACAATAAAATATTAAATCAAATCACACTGTGTTAAACATCAGGTGTTTTTATCAGATTTAAAAACAGGAAGTGAAGTGTCCTGTCTAATGTTGGGGGGGGGGGCGGGTTGTTCCAGAGTTTAGGGCCCACGACTGAAAAAGTCTGATCTCTGAG